TTTATATCACCCATTTTATTCTATTTTACAATTTTTAATTTAGGATTTGGATGTTAAAGAAGTGGTAGCAATGTGGGGATCTGAAAATTGTTATCCATCAGAAGCTGTATTTGTACCTCATCCTGGAAAAGACTGCGAAGAAGATGAGGGTGTGTTATTAAGTATTGTATTTGATGGCGGAAATAACAAAAGTTTTCTTTTGGTACTTGATGCGAGAACTATGAATGAATTGATAAGAGCTGATTTACCACAAGTTGTACCCTTAAGCTTTGGACATGGGGCTTTTAAAAGGAATAGTGATTAATAGAATATTATATTATGTTTGTTGATTTAGCCTTAGTAGACTTTAAAAATATCGTTATTGCTTTTTTTTTTTCGATTAATCTAGATTTAATAAAATATTATTTATCAAAGTACATGGTCAAAGATGTCATAAAGCATGTTTCATATGTCTAAAACATCGCCATAGCAGAGTGTTCCAGGATTATTATAGAACAGGGTGAAAACTAGCCAATAGCTAATAAAAACTTCACTACATAAATTGGGTTGGCGTTAGGATATAATAACGTACGTACGTACGTATGTAAACGTAAAAATTTGAGGTTGTACATACATACTACTAAAGGTAAGATTAGTTATGTGTTATCCGGCAAACTCATATGACCATGAAAAAATTTCTTTTTGTTATTTTTTTTTCGTGTTACGATGTAATTCAAAGCGAGCGACACTCATGGGAGGACATTCGTTTGATTGGTTTATTTTTGTAGATCTACCCGTGATCGCCCGTGATAATTAACCAATAGCATTAAACGATTTTAAATTATCGTTTTTAATACTATCATTATAGAAAACATAGAAAACGAAAGAAGATTTCATATAAAAAAACTTACAAACTAATAAATACGCGTAATACAGTTTATTAATTATATTTTAAAGAATAGATAGACACGTGTTGAATGGGATAAATGTGATATTTATTACTAATAAATAAACTCAAACGAATCTATAAGCCAAAACTTTAACGTTTGACAACCAACCAAAACACATACAAAAACCAACCAATTTAAACATTAAACCCAGCCTTTTACTATTAAAGAGCTTGTACCTATTCAAATTAAACAGTTAGAATCAAAAGCTATTTAAATCTAACGTAATAAAGTAGTTTTAGACGAAAAGCATTTCAGTTACCTTCACTTTACAATATAATTTGATATGGTCCAATAGGCGGTAGACATATTTTGTTTTCTAAGTGAAGTTCTTCGGGATCCCGATTATTTTCCGATTATTTTGCACAGTGAATATCCACGCTCTTGTGAAGCTAATGCTGTAATGGTAGAAAAAAAGTGTATTTTTAATTAGTGAAACGTTACGTTCTCAAAAAGTATTTTAAAGTGTATAAATAAGTTACCCGGGTAATTGATTTACATCAGCCAATCAAACGAATGTCCTTCCATGAGAGCGACACCTCATAGGACGACATTCGTATGATTGGTAGATCTACCCGTGATTTCCCGTGATAATTAACCAATCAAATCAATCA